TCACCTCAGCCTCCCAAGGCGCGGGATTACAGGCTGAGCCACCGAGCCCGGCTAAAAAGCGGTTTTGAGGAGTGAGATAAGAAAGAGCAGGAGGCTGCATCTGCTTTCCAGTAGTATTTTCAGTTTAACTCAAGGAAGTAAAATGATCCAGTGTGTCAGAAGTATGAACATGCTAGAATGGTACCTTATTAAATCTCTCTCGTTTTATCCTGCACTATTCCTAGCCCCGTGCCCACACCAGGTGGAGGAATAATGGAACAATTTCATTCTTGAGGGCAATCTTTTTGCTTCTAAGTCATCTTGATTTATAAATATGGAAAGTCATGCATATTTTTCTTCTAGTGAACCAAATGTCTGTGTTTAATCATGAAAAGACATTCTGTTACTTTCTAGTCCAAAACTTAAGTTTTATCCCCCCCATCTCTCAAATCTTCAGGACCGTGTCCCATACCCTCTCTAGGTCTCCATGACACCACTTACCCTGGTTTGGGAAGCACGTTCTCTAGTTCTGTGATAATAACTCTTGACTGAATAGCTAACATGCTAGACATACAAGTCTGTGACAAATAAAATGGTGACAGTGCCTACGAAAATTCTGTTGTATAGCAGAGAAAGCAGGAATTTAAATAGTAAACTTTTAATCAACTTGCCACTATTACTAAAATTAGTCTTTATATAGCGCTCTGTTAAAGGAAAATTTTTGTTTTAGATTTGTGGGTACACATACATATTCGTTACAGGGATATGTTGGGTAGTGGTGGGGATTGGACTTCAGGTGTCCCATCCCCAATTAGTGACTATTGTGCCCATGGATAGTTCTGCACCCCCTTTTCCTCTCTTCTTATTGGTGTCTATTATTTCCATCTTTGTGACCATTTAGCTCCCACTTATGAGTGAAAACATGGGGTGTTCAGTTTTGTTTCTGAGTCAGTTTGCTCAGGATGATGCTCTCCAGCTCCATCCATGTTGGTGCAAAGGGTGTGATTTCATTCTTTTTTATGGTTGCATAGTATTCCATGGTGTATATATATCACATTTTCATTATCCACTGATTGGTTGATGGGTGTTTAGGTTGGTTCCACATCTTTGCAGTTGTGAATTGTGCGGCGATGAACACGTGTGTGTAGGTGTCTTTTTTATATGATGACCTCTGTTCCTGAGGGTAAATACCTAGTAGTGAGATTGCTAGATCAAATGGTAGATCTACTTTTAGTTCTTTGAGTAATCTCCATACCACTTTCCATAGAGGTTTTACTAATTTATACTCCCACCAACAGTGTTGTAAGTTCTCTTTTCTCTATATCCATACCAGCATCTATTGTTTTTTGACTTTTTAAATAATGGCCATTCTGACTGGTGCAAGGTGGAATCTCATTGTGGTCTTAATTTGAATTTCCCTGATTATGAGTAATGTTGAACATTTTTTCACGTTTGTTGGCCATTTGTATGTGTTCTTTTGTCATACGTCTATTCATGTCATTTTCCCACTTTTTAAATGGGGTTATTTACTTTTTTCTTGCTAATTTGTTTGAGTTCTTTGTAGATTCTTGGCATTAGTCCTTTGTCAGGTGTACAGTTTGTGAATATCTTTACCCATTTGTAGGTTGCTTGTTTGCTCTGTTTATTATTTATTTTGCTGTGCTGAAACTTCTTAGTTTAATTAAGTCCCACTTATTTATTTTTGTTTTAGTTGCATTTGCTTTTAGGGTTTTACCATGAATTCTTTCCTAGCCCAATGTTCAGAAGAGTTTCTTCCTAGGTTTTCTTCTAGGATTTTTATGATTTTGGATCTGACGTTTAAGTCTTTAATCCATCTTTTTTTTTGAGTTGGAGTCTCACTCTGTTGCCCAGACTGGAGTGCAGTGGCCGCTCCCAGCCACCGCAGCCTTGACCTGCTGGGCTCCAGCGATCCTTCTGCCTCAGCTTTCTGAGTAGCCGGAATTACAGGCGCGCGCTACCATGCCCGTCTAATTTTTGGATTTACTGTAGAGATGAGGTTTCGCCAAGTTGCCCAGGCGGGTCTCGAACCTGCGGGCTCAGGCAATCCACTCACCTCAGCCTCCCAAAGGCGCGGGATTATCTTGAGTTAAGTTTTATATATAGGGAGAGAAAGGGATCAAGTTTCATTTTTCTGTAAGTAGCTATCCAATTTTCCCAGCACCATTTGTTAACTGGGGTATCCTTTCCCCAGTGTCTGTTTTGTCAAGGGTCTGTTGGTTGTAGGTATTTGTGTTTATTTCTGGATTCTCTATTCTGTTCCATTGGTCCATGTGTCTGCTCTCATACCAGTACCATGCTGTTTTGGTTACTACAGGCTTGTAGTATAATTTGAAGTCAGGCAATGTGATGCCTCCAGCTTTATTCTTTTTGCTTAGGATTGCTTTGGCTATTCTGGCTCTTTTTTGGTTTTATTTGAATTTTAGAATTTTTTTTAAAATTCTGTGAAAAAATGATGTTGGTAGTTTGATAGGGATTGCATTGAGTCTGTAGATTACTTTGAGTAATATGATCACTTTAATAATGTTGATTCTTCCAATTAATGAGCATGGATGTTTCTCCATTTGTTTGTGTCCACTGCAATTTTTTTCATCAGAATTTTGTAGTTCTGTTTGTAGAGATCTTTTACATTCTTGGTTAAGTATATTCCCAGGTACTTTAGTTTTTTTGGCTGTTATTGTAAATGGAATTGAGCTCTTGATTTGATTCTCAGTTTTGTTGCTAAGGTGTATGGCAGTGGTGTGTTTTGATTTTGTATACTGAAACTTTACTGAATTCATTTATCAAGTCCACGAGTCTTTTGGAGGAGTCTTTAGGGTTCTCTAGGTATAAGATCATATTGTCAGCATACAGAGATAGTTTGATTCTTCTTGGATTCCTTTTATGTCTTCCTTTGGTCTGATTGTTCTGGCTAGGACTTCCAGTACCATGTTGAATAGTAGTGGTGATAGTGGACATCCTTGCTGTGCCCCAGTTCTGAGGGGAATGTGTTCAACTTTTCTCTGTTCAAGATGACATTGGCTGTAGCTTTGTCATATATAGCTTTTATTATTTTGAGTAATATTCCCTCTATACCTATTTTGCTGAGGTTTTCTACCATAAAGGAGTGCTGAATTTTATCAAATGCTTTTTCTGCACCTGTTGAAATGATCATATTATTATTATTATTATTTCCTTTTTTTTCTTTTTTTTGGGTTGGAGTCTCACTCTGTCATCCAGACTGGAGTGCAATGGCCGCTCCCGGCCACCGCAGCCTCGACCTGCTGGGCTCCGGTGATCCTTCCACTTCAGCCTTCCAAGTAGCTGGAACTACAGGCGTGCGCAACCACACCCATCTAATTTTATTTATTTATTTATTGTAGAGATGAGATCTCATCAAGTTGCCCAGGCGGGTCTTGAACCCATGGGCTCAGGCAATCCACTCACCTCAGCCTCCCAAGGCACGGGATTATAGGCTGAGCCACCAAGCCCGGCTGATCATATTATTTTTTAAATGTAGTTGATCACATTTGACTTGTGTACGTTTATTGACTTACGTATGTTGAACCACCCTGGCAACTCTGAGATAAAACCCACTTGGTCATGGTGTATTTTTTTTAATGTGCAGTTGAATTTGGTTTGCTAACATTTTTTTGAGGCCTTTTGTGTCTGTGCTCATAAGAGATGTTGGTCTCTAGTTTTCTTTTTTTTTTGTTTGTGTGTGTCTTTTCCTGACTTTGGTATCACAGTGATACTGGCCTTGTAGAATGAATTAGGGAAGATTCCCTGCTCTTAAATCTTGTCAAATAGCTTCAGTAAAATGGTACCAGTTCTTTGAAGGTCTGGTATATTTCAGCTGTAAGTCCATTAGATCCTGGACTTTTTTTTGTTGTTGTTAGGAGACTTCTGATACTGTTTGAATCTTGCTACTTTCATCGGTCTGTTCTGTTTCTTCCTGATTCAAGGTGTGGGGTTGTATGTTTCCAATAACTTATCCATTTCCTCTAGATTATCTGGTTTGTTTGCATAGAGGTATTCATAATAGTCTTGGATGATCTTTTGAATTTCCATCATATCAGTTGTAATGTTTCCTTTTTCATTTCTGATTGAGTAAATTTGAGTCTTCTCTCTTCATTTCTTAATTAATCTAGCTAGTGGTCTATCAATTTTGTTTATCTTTTTCAAATAACCAACTTTTTGTTTCATTAATCCTTTGTATTTTTTTTAAATTTAAGTTTCATTTAGTTCTGCTCAGATCTTTGTTATTTCTTTTCTTCTGCTAACTTTGGGTTTGCTTTGTTCATGTTTTTCTAGTTCCTTGAAGTGTGATGTTAGGTTGTTGATATGTGATCTTTTATTAATGTAGGCCTTAAGTGTTATAAATTTTCTTCTGAGTATTGCCCTGGCTATGTTCCAGAGGTTTTGATAACTTGCTTCGTGGTTGTCATTTGTTTCAAGGAATTTTTAAATTTCCATCTTGATTTCATTGTTGACCCAAGGACAATTCAGGAGCAAATTGTTTAACTTCCACATTTTTGTTTGGTTTTGTGAGTTCATCTTGGAGTTAATTTCTAGTTTTAGTT